GCCGAAACTGGGAGGCCGCCAAGCTCACAGAAATCTGGGAGCACTCCAAATTGGCCAAGAAATTGCTTGATGCTAAGAAGGTAGAGTATTTTGTTTGAAACCAATGCTAATTCTTTTTTATTTTTAAAATTGTGATTATGGTCTCTTGTTTTCTTGCAGAGAGAGGCAATGAATGACTTTGATAGATTCAAGTTGGCCAGGGCCAAGCAAATCAGGAATCGCATTGTGAGGCAGAGGTTTGTCCCAATGCTTCGAAAGGCACGTCGAGAAGGGACACTGAAGCCGAAGAAGAGGAAGCACCAAAAGAAAAGAGCCGAAACTGGGAGGCCGCCAAGCTCACAGAAATCTGGGAGCACTCCAAATTGGCCAAGAAATTGCTTGATGCTAAGAAGGTAGAGTATTTTGTTTGAAACCAATGCTAATTCTTTTTTATTTTTAACAAATGCTTTAAGAATTTTATTTTTAAAATTGTGATTATGGTCTCTTTTGTTTTCTTGCAGAGAGAGGCAATGAATGACTTTGATCGATTCAAGTTGGCCAGGGCCAAGCAAATCAGGAATCGCATTGTGAGGCAGAGGTTTGTCCCAATGCTTCGAAAGGCACGTCGAGAAGGGACACTGAAGCCGAAGAAGAGGAAGCACCAAAAGAAAAGGAAAATTATTGGTGCCCCCAAGGCCTAACATATGAGATTGTTGTCTCCCAGTTTTTGAAAATGAAGCATGATCCCAAGCTGCATGTGGTGGAATTATAATTGATTGATCCTTATTACCACACACAAACTTATGGGCAAAGGGACTTTCATGGAGGAACTGAGTTCCATAATGGATGCTCTGCATGTTTTAGAAGACATGCATCCATGGTCCCATCCTTCCTAATGTTTTCAACAAGTAAATACACTTTTTAAATTTATCCATATGGACTTGCTAATTCAGCATCTGCTTATTCTTGGGAGTGAAGAAATTTACAGTGGAAGTGAAAGCTAAGGAGAGAGGTGGATCGTGGAGAAGAGGAGGAGAGAATGTTGGTCAAACCTGAACAGGAATCATTCAGGCTGAGGCTGCTGAGAGACCCCAAGACCTAAATGGCCTCTCCACGCTACCTTCAACTCACTCTTGCTTTCATCAAGCCTGAGAGCTCACAACTCCCTTTTGTCATCAATGTCAGGCCCCTAGGGCTTATTCACTCCTTGCTTGCATGCGCTTGATGAATTTGAAATTGTGTTGCACATTGCTCAAAATGTGCACCCATGCGCACTTGAAGGAACAATGGGATTCAAAAGAGAGCTGGAAGCACTAAAATGATATGAAAATTCAAGGTGCTAGCAGGAATTGCCATGTGCCTTG